TGCAGTGTTAACAGTCTCTCCTCTTGCAGGGGTTGGTGTTGATGACATGTTCATCATGATTGCTGCCTGGGAACAAAGTTTAAAGAAAAAAGAGAAATCCAGTGTTAAATCTCTGCTGGCTGAGACTTACACAGAGGCAGCACTTTCTGTGACCATCACCACTCTCACAGATGTTTTGGCCTTCTTCATTGGCACCTGGACTGCTTTTCCATCTGTGAGGTCCTTTTGCCTCTACACAGGCACAGCTTTTGTCTTCTGCTATGTGTAYACCCTGACCTTCTTTGGGGCAGTTCTGGTATTAAATCACAAACGGGAGCAGGGGAACCGACACTGGCTCACTTKTATGCCTGTGGCAGTAGACAAAGATGAGGCTGAGAGCTCCTGCTTGTACAATGCTTGCTGTATCGGCAGCTTCTCTGGGCAGCCATCTCAGCCAGAAGGTGAGCATCCAATGAGCATATTCTTTAGAAARTATTATGGCCCTTTWGTTACAAATAAATGGATCAAGCTGCTCCTGGTATTGCTGTATGGAGCATATTTGGCTGGCAGTGTTTATGGSTGTACTCAGACCAGGGAAGGCATCGATCTCCGAAATCTGGCAAATGACRATTCCTACGTTATTCCSTACTATGATGATGATGAGAAATACTTCTCGACATACGGACCCAGGGTCATGGTTGTCATTACTGAGAGTGTAGATTACTGGAACGAGACAGTTCGTCGTGGCATTGAGAGTTGTGCACAGAATTTAGAGAGCATTTCCTATGTAGATAAGGACTACTCAGAGTCATGGCTGAGAGTATACACTGAACTGGCCGAATGGGGTGTGGTAAATATAGACAGCAAGACTGACTTCTTTAATAACTTAATTRCACTGTTCAGAWWTCKTCCCAGTTTTGAGTGGGACATAAACAAGACTCAGGATGAAATAGAAGCTTCACGTTTCTTCATCCAGACAGTGAATGTGACGTCGGCCGTGGATGAGAAGCATCTCCTCACTCAGTTAAGAGAAGCAGCCCAGCAGTGCAGCATTCCACTGAAGGTGTATCACCCAGCCTTCATCTACTAYGACCAGTACCTGGTTATAGTGCAGAACACTGTTCAGAACGTTGTTGTTGCTGCCGGGGCRATGCTCGTTGTCTCCCTTCTGCTCATTCCCAACCCWTTGTGCTGCTTGTGGGTGACTTTCGCTATAGCCTCTGTGATAGTTGGTGTTGCTGGTTTCATGACATTCTGGAATGTCAATCTCGATTCCATATCCATGATCAACCTGGTTATTTGCATAGGGTTTTCAGTAGATTTTTCTGCTCATATTTCCTATGCCTTTGTGACGAGTGGAGAGTCATCAGCCAATAAAAGGGCAATTGAAGCCCTGGCCCTGCTGGGTTAYCCAGTATTWCAAGGTGCAGTTTCCACGATATTAGGAGTAGTTGTCTTGGCTGCAGCAAACACGTACATCTTTAGGACATTCTTCAAGATCATGTTCCTTGTCATTTTGTTTGGGGCTGTTCACGGCCTTGTTTTTATTCCAGTGTTTTTAACATTTTTTGGAAACTTTGGCACATCATCCAATACCATATCTAAAAAACTAGAGATGAGCTTGAGTAATTATAAAGATGATTCATKACAAAGTTGAAAGTATTATAATTTATATTTATTGTATGTAGAGTCAAATGCAGTGACTGTCAGGGAATATAAGACAGGAAGAAAATGAGGGACGAAAAAATTAACACAACAGGGAAGCAAAGGCTTCTGAAAAGCCAGGCAAGAAAAATAACAGAAGAAATTAAAACTTACAGATTGTATTTGGATTTCTCATTTTTGTGTGTGCTTGCCTCAACGTCTTCATGCTGTTAATTTTTTTTATTGTTGTTTAGTGAATGAATTAAAATTAATATAAATACCGACCAGTGCATCAGCTTAATGGACTACATTACATGATTGTCAGTTCGTGTTCATGGTGGGGAAGAGTAACTTCCACTGGACTGCATTTTCCACTGTTTGCTTTGGTGCTGTAACTCATCCCAGCACTGAGCTGGAAGACAATTTTTGCCCAAGAGGCTCAAATCTGGATGTTTTACAGCAAAATTAYAAGAGGTCAGAACTGTCTCAGACTCCAGTAAGGGAGTCTCAGAAGCCCATAGGAGACAAAATCTGCCTAGATTCCTAATGCAGCACAAKAAACCTTTGGGGGAGACTCACCCCAAGCTGACTCACATTTTCTATTCAAAGCCTTTTCTTGGTGTCCTGTTTTCTAGCTAAGGTAGAATACATGGTATCTTTAAAAATTTTGTGTGTAGCCTCTGGTGGCTGCAGTTTGCTAAAGGATGTGCTGTAGGTTATTGAATCTGTGTGGACKTCCTGAGCAACCACCCTGGGAGATGCTGTGCCATGGTATGGCAGGGCAAGAATCCACCAGAGAGAATCACACCCTGATTCAGGACAAAGYGAAAAAGCAACTCAGATTTAAGCAGATCAGTTCTAAAACTGTAAACCCAGAAATTCCATTGTGTTCGTCCTGTGATGTGTTCATAGAGCAGAGGAGCTTGCACTGAGTAAGAGCTAAGAATATACAAAGTGATCWCCTAACTTTTAGGGACAAGACAATAGGTGAAAGTCAATTCATAATTTGTTGCCAATATAGTGAAATGAATGACAGTGACTGATGTTTGTAATTCAGGAAAAATTAGTGTAGAACTTATTAAACCATTCACTCCAATCTGCTGCTGTGGAGGGTTTCTTCTGACTAAGCAGTGTGACAGGGTCTGCATCCATCTTCTGTGATTTATGGCCAGTTTCATGAGACCCAGTAGACAGGGCAGGATACTTCTGTTTCTTCCGTAACAGTTTTTGAAAGAGTAGTGSAAGACTGAAAGTTTGTATTAATCTTAGAAGAAATCTGCTCCTGAGCTCAGCATCAAAACCCAGTGCTGAATCTCAGGATTACACCTAGCAGCGTTAAACTTCCGGGAAAAGGCACTAACCACAAAGCTAGATTTGGAAAAAAACATCAACCCCCTGCACTAGAGTCCCCCCTTCTCCCATTAAATGTTTCATGGTCCATACTAGTGCTCTAATGACAAATATTGCAGGTTCTTCTGTGCTGATGATACTGTGGAAGGAGCAGATGATGCACCCATGACGGCCAAAAGCAGAGAAAGGCCTCCTAATAATGGGAGCCATGTTTTTGGAAAAAGAAGGGAAATCTACTTCTGAGGGAAGTAGAGAGAGCGGCCTATTTCAAGTGAGTACTCTTAGTTCTTATCCTGTTGTTTGGCCATATTCTAGAAGCAAAAATAACTCTCCTTGCTTCTAGCCAGTTTCCAAGCAGATCAAGAGCAGAAAGTTAGGAATTGATCTAACTTCACAGCCTCTTTAAAGGATCAAGATTTAGAGAACTGTTCTGATATTTCAGCTGACTCAGGTAATCACAGAGTGAGAAGCAGCCAGAAGGAGCAGGCCACAACTTTTCACTGGAAATTTGCATTTTCTTTGTATTAAGCTTGCTGGTAGAATTCTGGCATGCCAGCCTTGGGAATACAGAAAATTCAGAATCATGTCCAAGTTTGAATTTCTTATTTTTATGCAGACCCTGCTTGTGACCACTTTTAGAGGTATTTAAAAAACAAACAGTCCATCTAGGCACCTAGCTCTGCTCCATTTTCAACAGCAGGAGGCTATTCCTACTTAAGGGGAACTGAGGTTATTCTCACTCTGACTGATTTCTGRAAGCTGCTTTTGTGATTGTGGTGTGTTGAGCCTGGCTGGACAGTGGGAGCCCACCAAAGCTGCTCTATCCCATCCTGAGCTGGACAGSGGAGAGAAGACGTGGCAAAAGGCCTGTGGGTAGATAAGCGCAGGGAGAGATAACTCACCMGTCACCATCATGGGCAAAACAGACTTGAGTCGGGAAGTAAGTTTATTGCCAATCAAACCAGAAATAAAACCAAATCTTAACACCACCTCTTCCCCTAACCCACTTCTTTCCTGTTTACAACTTCACTCCCACTTTTCTTTACCTCCTCCCCCTCAAGCGGTAATGGGGACAGGAAATGGGGTGCAGTCAGTTCATCACTGGTTGTCTCAGCCGCTCCCTCCTCACGGGTAGGACTCCCACTCTCACCTGCTACATCTCCTCCTGCAGCRACCTTGGTGTCTGCAGAGCTGTTTCTCTCAGTACTCCCTCAGGCTGCAGAACTTCTTCCTTTTCATAGCTGTGTWGTCCCAGAGGCCCTGACAGCAGGGCTGATAGGCTCAGCCTTAGTAGGTCCTGCTAGAGCTGTCTGGCAGTGCTGTATTGGACATGGGGAAGCTTCTGGCATCTTCTCCCAGATGCCACTTCTTTTTTTTTTTCTTTTTGAGACTATCCTACTTCTATGCATATAGCAAGAAGCTTTTGAATGAGAAAAAACAGTTGGACTTCAAGGATTTACCCCCTTAACAAAATCATTCAATATAGATTTTAGTGACTTCAAACAAGAAATGGGTTTTCTTGCTTTTCTTTCTAAATGCAAATTCACATTATTTAGCTGGAAAAGATCCCTTTCAACTCCTGCTACTGAAGCAATTTAAAAAAAGGTGTGAATTTCTAGGAAGAACATTCCCTAGAAATCTCATTTAGATAGAGTGCAATGTTGCCATAATTATTAATTTATTTACAATTTTAAATGCTGTACACACCTCAATTTACATACTAGGGACCTTGGTATTACATTTTATAGCAATTTACAGTGAATAAAAAGAAAACCAATGTGCATAATTAAAATTAACCTTTATTACTCCAAAAACAGATGCCAAATATGCACTATATTTCTGTTTCTGTTGGCATATTTCTAAAATACATGTACAACTGTAGCTAGTCAGCCTAGATGTTTTGTATACTGTTTTATAACATTTGGAAGTTCTCCCATGCTGACTGGGCTGTCACTATAGTAAGCTGATAAAAACAGGCATAAAGGAAGTTGATCTGGTTTTGAAAGAAAAAAAATCCCTCAATGTGCTCTTACTGAAAAAAACTAGGTTATAATCAAGCATTACACTCAGAAAATTCTAAAATACTATGTTACTTCTAATTTCAGGTGCAGCTACCAGTTTCCATTCACATTTATTGGCACCAGCCCAATTATTTTAACATCCAAGTATGGTAACCCTCAACATTAATATGCTAATACAAGCCCTCTCTGCAACGGAAGCTTGTAATCCCACATGGCTACTGTGCAGAAGTTATGATCAAGAAGTGTTATTCCTAAAAACCAGTCCCATGAGATCAGATGAATACTGGCATATAATTGTGAGCCATTGCTTCCACTTGAGAAACTGCTCGTTTGCAAAACCTTTTTAATATTTTCTCAGAATTTCCTGAGATTTCTGTAAGGGTTGAAAGAAAAGGTTTTATTTCCCTACTTCTACCATAAAACGGAACTGGGAATGTTATTTGAAACAACACATGCTTCAAACATTTTCTGAATTACTCTTTAGGGAGCAATGCTGTCCTCTTCAAAGAGATTATCTGTTGGATTATCAAACGCCCATACACAGTATTAATAGAAACTAGTTCTGTAGAATCTCCAGCAGTGTAAAAGCACTGTCATCAAAGCACTGTCATCTGCCTATTGCAGTAATAAAAATTTTAAGAATCTTGTCAGCAGCACATCAGAGGTCACAGGTATTTGTGCTATCCCTCCTATGGTTCTATCCAAAACATGGTCCAAAGAGGCTTAGACACGTTTASCCTGTTGTTTTTGCATTAAAATTTCTCTCCCAGCCATACATGTGTGTATTTTAACCCCAAGAGTACTGGAAACATGACCACTAATGTTTTCGTCTAGCATGGTGTTTCCACAAGGTATCTGGTTCATTTTTAGAGATGTTTTGCTACATTTTCTAAGTTAGAAGTCTTTAATAGCCATCTCTAGCCTAAAACAGAGCATGAGCAACGACATACCACTGCTTTACATCTCAATCTGTCACTCTCCATAACACATTCCAGAGCACATATTGTGGGGTATCACTCCAAATGCACATGTAGCAGCATGGCCCAGGAAGCTGTGCCAACACACACCAGTGTATCCGCATGTTTTTCTTCTCAGCTTCAACACATTTGATTGAATCAAAATGCTGAATTCAACCCTGAGATTTATCCTTCGGAATAACTTCTTGTGCGAAGAGTATAGGGAGCAGAGGATGAGGAACTTGCTTTATTTTGTGTCTTATTCTGATGAGATACAACAAATAGATGAGTAACAGAAGCTCACAAGAGACAGACTAATAATAAAGTGACACTATGCCATACACACATCAGGAGGAGAAAAAAAGGCTATGCTGCGTAAGACTACTGCATTGCTAGATGTACATTCTTCAAAGTATCAGGGACATATACCAGAAGTTATCATCTTACTTCTAGTTTTTTCCCCTCTAGAACAACTTGGATTTCTTTGGCATCCAAAGTCTCATATTTCAATAAAGCTTCTGCTAAATTCTTGTGTTCTTTTGCATGAGTCTTCAGGATGTTCTTTGCTCGCTCRTATGAGTCCTAACATTAAGAAGAGGTAGAATGACATTTTAAGACTTTACAACAAAAACAACAGCAAGATTCCCCTTTAAAAATTGTTTCCAGGTAAATACATTTTGAAACAAACATTTAAAGTTGTGTCTTATATTTCAAAGCTAGCACAGCTGACTCACAAMGAGTTAAAATATAGCTGGCACAATTAATGAAAAACAACCAAACACTTTATGTCACCTTTGCATTTTGCGTAAGTAGGGCTAAAAATAAAATCTTGASACAAACCTCAGTATTGTTACATACAACTTAGAAAAGACCAACTAGACTTGAAAATTTCCTGATTTTTATAACTTTTTTTTTTTTATTATGAACCAAGCTACAGCATTCACAGATTACTGCTCAGAGACTACCATTTTTACATTATTATAAACCTCCAATGATTATGTAGTTTTAGAAAGCTGAAAGCTACCAGYTACTGAAAGTCACCAGTTGCTGCAAGTAGATGCACACTGCCATATTACCAGCTTCAACTTTTAGTGAACTTGGTAGTTCACACAAGGCCAGCAGTTCAAAAACAACTAACAGCAGAAGTGTTAATCACTTAAATGTTAATCACTTAAATGTTAATTCTCCTGCCTGTACCAAACTAATTAAGATTACCAGAACACTGATGGGAAGTTCAGTAATTATCAAACATTACAAATTTCTCTATGCAACTGACACTTATCCTATGAGGAACAGGATACTGAAGGCAACACTGATCTGATACAGCCACTCATGTGATTTTATACAAAATTATTTTTCCTGAAATGTGAAAGTAACACATCTGCTCCAAATCTATTTGTAGCCATACTTTTCCTGTGAATTTAATGGGCAAAATATGAATTGTGACCAAATGTAAGAGAAGTGTTAAAGAGTCTATTAAAAGGGCCCAACGCCACCAGTTTGATTCACTGCATGACAATCACCAAAGAGTTTTGATATGCAGAGATTCAAAGTTAGAGCTACATTAAACACTTGGGAATACTTTCATCCACCTGTGTATTTTCACCAGTATACATTACTGAAATTAATAATCAAGCAAACAGTTGTTCAACTCATCTCAAAACAGAAGTATGAGTGGAGGGGGAAAGGCTCTTACCCGTAGAAGTGTCCTCACTTCCTGTTCAATTGCAGACTGGGTTTCAGGACTGACTTTACCCGTATCAGTGTAGGTCATAACACCAAGCTAAACAGCAACAACAAAAATATCTTTATCTTGCCACTGTTCCAGTCATACACATAAAATACTGTACGAGTTTCAGCATGCCAACAAATAAAATCATGAGTCAAATGCCTGCTGAAGTGCCTTCAGCAGAAACAAAACAAGAAGCCTAYTCATCAACTATGTAGTAACTGCAGAATTCTGTTTCAAAGGGTCACAGTACAGATCCTGATTAAGCGCTTTCTTAAAAAMCAGAACAGAAAGCCTAGACTACTTACACCTGATGCACAATAAACATAAAGCTAAAGAAGCTTCCAAGGAAAGTCTAGAAAACTCACTGTTGTTACCCCCCTTTGCCCTCCCAGACTCAAAATTAACCTCAGTTCCAAAATGTCTGGCTTTATTATAACTGTTTTCTGAAGATATTTGTAMCTTTCAAGGCAATTTTAAGGTGAAAATACTGCAGGGTAATTTTTAAACTGTCAAATACACAGATTTTCTAGTTGAGGTCTCTATAGCAGTTCAGGTCAAAAGGCTTATTTTTTTTGTGGAAACTACTTACCCTAGTCTCAGATCACTGACAGACAAATAGGCTTTTAGCTACAGAACATAACTTRGTTTTACTCCAATAAATATTAAAGGACTGATGACACTACCTTCTCACTCATTCCAAATCGAGTCACCATCAGTCTTGCAATTTTAGTAGCATTGTCAAAATCACTGGAAGCACCTGAGAGAAAACAGATCTAAGTTACATTACTGAAAGCATATTAAACATGCCAGTCCACAGCCTTATCAAAAACTCTTTTAACTACCAATCGCCTGACCTGTTGTGATGTGATCACTTCCAAATATGAGCTCTTCTGCTACTCGTCCTCCCATACAGACATCCATCTGTGCAAGCAACTGGGATCTAGTTTCACTCCATCTGTCATTTTCTGGGAGCAAAGATACCTGTAAGGTACAGAACTGTGGTCAGGTAACAAAAACTGTGAAATACTTAAGTCATCTTAAAAACAGTCTTGTTTATATCCAAAGCAGATGAAGATTTTATCTAACACTGAATGTCCTGGCCTGCCCCTAGTATATGCACTCATCAGGTCTGCTTGGAAGTGCTCAGTGACTGAAACAGCCTCCTCAGACCCTGAGCACCCCATCACAGTGAGCAACTTACACCTACCATCAGAAGAAACAGAACAATCTGTTCTGTCAATTTCTCCTTATTCCTCACGCTTGGATTGCACACAAATCAACTTGCCCAGAAGATTTAGACAGATGATTTTCATGAACTGAACAGATAAACTTGAATAAAGTTCAACAGGAAGAGACATAATTGAAATATTTTTCTGTTCAAATGCTTGGCAGCTAAAAGCAAAATAGAAAAWCTTATGGATATCTATACTAAAAACAAAACAGGTAATTGATGAGGTTTAAAAAAGCCATACAGGAAAAAGAACAACCAGATAAAGGATGTTTTTGTTAAAAGTACAGCTGAGCTTTTACTTAACAGTCCTTTAGATGTTCAAACTTTTGGTGTAAGGTGCTATTTTAACTGCAGCAGAACCAAACTCATTTACATTTCTTTCTTGTACACGTGACCTGTTACACTAGTACATGCTAATTTATTACAAAATGAAGAAAGAAAGCTTTCTATTACACTGTAGGTTGATGACTGTAGGTTTTCCAAGAGATTGCTCCTGAGTATTTCAACAGACTACAATATGCATTAAAATCACAGCAAATAACATCATTGCTAATTCCTCTATACCACCAAACCAACATAAAAACAAAACCAAATAAAGCAATACAAATAAACTAAGTTAAGAAATACTAATAAATTAASAAAAACTAATAAAACTGGACAAAGAAATACTCACATGTCCCAGTGTTGTTCCTCGTGTCATGATTGTGGCCTTGTTGATCGGCATTGCATCCTTGGTGTAATAGGCAATGATTGCATGTCCAGACTCATGGTAAGCTGTGATGGTTTTGTTCTTCTCATCAATTTCTACACTTCTACGTTCAGGTCCTTAAACAGAAGAACATTAAATTAACCTTTTTGTACAGCTGACCACCACAATCCACACGTTACATACACTCAGATCACAGAGCAGCCAAGCAAGAGCATGCAATCAAAGGGAAGTTACRCTCTCAACGTGCAAAATGTTTACAAGTCAGATTTCAATGTCTAAAAATGGACCCAAAAATATTCTACAGACAAGCAGCTTTTAAAGTAATAGATCTTAAAACGCAGCCTAAGTATCTGAGAAAATTCTGTTTCTTCTCTCAAACACAAACAGACCAGATTCATAGTGGTTATGTTTAAGCTTTGTGCTACCACATGCAAAGTCAAACAGAAGTTTCAGGTTTCTGGTTATAGGTAAGGGAAGGATAAGAAATCATGCCTATGTCTCCCCACATGCTGAAGTTTAACATGTARCATTTCTAACTTTAAAAACAGTATCAAATTTTAAAGAATGTATTCCACACTGGAATTTACATACTACTCTCTAGTCTCAAAAGGTTCTATTCAGAAATAACTGATAGGAAACTTTACTTGTTAAAAAAACCACCAAACAAACAAAATTTTAAAAAATCAAATCCCATGATTAAAAAAACTCCACAAAACAAAAAAAAAACCCAAAAAGCCACAGTCCAACAATCCAAAAAATAGCATAAAAACTACTTCCCTGTACAAGTCTTCATCACACAGGAAATCTCTGAGTATTGTAACATACAGGTATACATCTTTKGTATAAAATCCTACCCATTAGAATTTTGTCCTTGGAGAATTCTAGTTCTTTCATGGTCACCATATCTTTTCCATCAACAGCTGCCTTTAAGGCAGCTTGATTTACAAGATTTTCAAGCTCTGCTCCAGAAAATCCTACTGTGCCTCGTGCAATTATTTCCGGATCAACAGCTGTAGGGGGAGGGAAAAAAAAAAAAAAAACAAAACAATTTTGTTTATTAGAGTCCATGTTGCTCCTGAAATTGTAAGCAACAATCATATTCTATTAAAAAATTACGCATGAAACAAAAAAAACACCAACAGTTTTAGAAGAAATTTAAATTGAACTCTTAGGGACTAGAGAGGAACACACCTAGAGAATTTTTGTGTTCTTTATTAACAAAAGATAAAGCCACAACTGCAGGTGGAATCAAGGACTAATATGAGGGGRCTGATCCAGTATAAAAACTACTACATAAAAAGATGTTACAGTAAAATATTTACTTACATGGGTCATACTTGATTTTATTAAGGTACCACTTCAGAATTTCTGTACGACCTCTTACATCAGGCTTGGGRACAGTAACTTGCATATCAAAGCGACCAGGACGTATTAGAGCACTAAAGGAAATGGCAATTTAGTACACTGACTCAAAAATGCTGCAGTAAATTACTAATGTGTATCAAGGAACAAAAATGCATTGCTATTTCTAAAGATATCTACATAGATTATGTCTCATGCACAGATACAAAGTGTATGTTTTTTTTATCTACTTGTAAAAAGACAGATGAAAGATATCTATTGTCAACCCATTTTAAAAGGTTTTTTTGCATTGGAAAATTTTGCATTGTGAACAAGGAATGCAGCTTAGCARTCTAGCAGAAAAACTTCCAGAAATTTTAAATGCTTAGAAGCATTTATTTCTCCTTATTTAACTCTGCAWCTTATTAAATGCCAAAAACTGGTCAATAGGCATCCTTTTTAAGAGGGAAAGCTTCAGCTATAACAYCMTAATACTTGAAAATTATCATAAGAAACTTGGGTTTTGTTGCAGAAGTACTTTACTACACGGTCTGTAAAACAATCAATTTATTACACTCACTTGTCTAATGCTTCAGGGAAGTTTGTAGCGCCAATAATAACAACACCTTCATTTGGTTTAAAGCTGTGTGAAAAACAAGATGAGAATTCATGGGTTTTTTTGGACACAGGATTTAAAATTTTGTCAATAACTATTGTTATTAACTTCACTGTCCAGTCAAAAACATGCTTTCACAGTAAAACATGATCCAAGAATGACCATGTTCAACCCAGCAACTGGTTAAAAACATGCTCTGATCTCAGTGTTGAACTTCTTCCTTTAGATATATAACCAGGCAAAAAAACTTGAGAAATTATTAAAGTAACTGCAGCTATTGTGCAACTACAACTCAGAAACTTCTTATTCTTTACAAGGTCATTAAGGCTACWGTTGGCAGCATTAGAAAATAGCCATAAAAGCATATTAAATATATATCCTTAAAAACATTACAAAAAATTACATGAAACTTCAAAGCTACCAAGAAGAAACCTACATATCCAAAATAMCAGTCAGTCAAGCACCTTCTGTGCTCTCAGAATCCATATATTTACCCATCCATTTCAGCAAGGAGTTGATTAATGGTCTGTCTTGAATAGGGGTGCATTGGAGATTCAATTCTCTTCCCACCAACAGAGTCCAGTTCATCAATGAATATAACACAGGGTGCATTTGCTTTTGCTTCCCCTGACAAAAGAAAAATAGCAGAAGGAGCCTTAAACCTCACAAAGGAACAGACACTGTATCATGYAGTTTAGGATTCTACCATTTCTGTTATTCTTGGATTATAAAATGTTCTATTACACATCACCAAAACGTCCCGCTTTTAGCCTAAAAAAAAAAAAGGAAACAGAATCTTAATTCTCTGTATCTCTCAATTTAAAAAAATGTATCTCCTCTTCAGCTTATCATGCTACAAGAAATCACTAGTAAAGGAAACCAAGAAATATTTGTATTCTGTATGAACTTCCTACAAGAATTTATRTTTTAGGCTTGGGTAGAAAATATTWGCCTRTTAAATAATATGAAAYRTGATGGGTCTCAACAYSAACTTATTTTAACAGACCTTGCTTGTTATTTTACAGTGAAGGGCTCACACCCAAGTTTACAAGTATTAAAAACACAAAAATGCAGTAATAAACATGAGGATCATCAATTGGTACATGCACACCAGGATGCAGCTCATTTCACYCAGYCAGACCTAYCTGYAACATTAATAATAGTAATGTRTAAGTCAGGCATCCACACTTTTGTAGCCAACAGAAGGCAGTGCATTTTTAACATGTATGACATTTTGCATCCCATCCAAGTGAAGCAAGTCGCATTTCTTCTACAAATGCAAACCACTTGGTGCATTGTATATATTTGACACTATCAATCTTCCATCTAAGAGAGAAGCTGGATTTCTCTTCCCCAGTAATATTTTACTTAAAATAAGAAGTCTCTTCTGTGCCAGTTATAAATCTAAATATTCATTTTYAAAGTTTTGTTATAATGCTCTTTATTTTGAGCTCGTTGATGGGTGTGAGAAAGAAAATCTCAGCTTAYTGTTATGCCATAAAGCTCTAATCAGACTAAAAAAAATCTAAAAATGAGGGCAGTAAATAAGAAGGTTAACACAATTTTTTTCTTATAATTCACAATTTGAATCTACAACGATTTTGTATGACTAATTAAGTTACGACTTCAAATATTCAATTTTGTTWATAGAGCATTACAATTAAATTGCTACTTCTCTCTGGGTCTCTTGTAASATCATTACTAAGTTTTGCTATAATTTTGTGTGATGGTTAGGAAGATTCTACAGTTAACTGATGCTCACAGAATTGTGACATTTGCCAACATAATTCAAGCTTTATTTATTAGCCTTACACACTACTACTTTCCAGTAACCAGAACTGTAACTAATCAAACCACGCACGTGAAAGATTTCAAGCAAATGTTTAACTTACTGAACAGGCTTCGGATGCGACTGGCTCCCACGCCAACAAACATCTCATCAAACTCTGATCCAGATGCGTAATAAAATGGGACATCAGCTTCACCAGCCACAGCCCGTGCAAGAAGTGTCTTGCCAGTACCAGGTGGTCCAACCAGCAGAATACCTAAAAGATAATCAAAATCTCTGAACAACAAAACCACCAAATCCACACAGTCTTATTACAGGAGTAGTTTCTTCCGTGTATTAGAAGAAATAATGTACACCTGGCTCCAAAAAGCTGTTAAGATCCTATTTCAGGTACTGTGCATTACTGCCAGCCTGATGGAGCTTCCTGTAACAAAACTACATACAATCTGATCCATATTTAAACAGCAACAAAGACTTCTAAGAGAATCCAAACAGAAGCCTGAAGTATACTGCAAATTTACTGTTGAGTTTAGCAGCTGAATCCCTAACAGCRTTTCCTTCAAACTGACATTTTCCAGGTTGTTTCTGTGGAGCCTTTTTTTTTTTTAAATTAAATCCTTCCAAGTAATTCCTTTAAACAGTCTAGAGCACTAACAGGGAAGAGATTTATTAGGTCTACACATCTCAGATTCACGTGGACTTCCACTATGATCTTAATCATCGTTAGACATGAAAACATTTGTTTCTGAACTACCTAAAGCAGTTATCAAGCACTAAAGGTGCTAAAAGCCACAAGGATGAAATAAAGCCCTTTAGTGTCCAGTTAATAAAGCCCCCTGCTTTACAGGACCAAGTACTACTGTTTATTAGTCTTAAATAAAGAAGGCACAGTAAATTTTCTAACCCCAAAATTTTCATTCGCATCATACACAAAGAAACAGTAAGAAACTAGGCTTGTAAAGTAGTCACTTAGTAAAGAACATGCCTCACAGCCATGGCTACATAGGTTTTTCACCTCTGCTGAGCAATGATTCTTACCTTTTGGAAGTTTACCTCCTAATACAGTAAATTTGTGTGGGTTTTTCAGAAATTCCACAACTTCCTGCAATTCCTGTTTAGCTTCTTCAACCTAAACATTGAAAACATGCCACAAATAAAACTAAACATTTATAAAATGCTGCATGTAGCTAAGTTTTGCGTTAGAGACTAAGTCCCTAATTGTGTATTGATCAAGAATACAAATAGAAAATTATTAAAGTGTACCACAGAATTTGTGTGGATACTGATATTTAATTCAACCTATCCTAAAACTGTTTGCAGGACTCAGTAAGCATTAAACTTGGTAACAGTGAAGGAACAACCAAACAGTTCAGGACCAGATCTGACCAAAGAAATAAATACAAAAACCTAAAATTCTACATCAAGATGTTAGTCTAATTAATTAAAGAGATTAATTCTATCTATTTGTCCAAGGGAAAGGAAAGGGRGGAGGTCCTCATTTTGCCACTAACAGTCAAAGAACAATGGAACAGAAAAAATAGAGGTATCCCATCAGCAGTGACATGCCCACTTCTTTCTGGGAATCTCCGTATCTCCTGTCCTGGTAACAATTYCTGAAATAGATGCTACTAAGAGCGAAACAATCAAATGACATTATCATCTTCTTGTACCAATCAACTTCGGTACAAGGTAGATTAACATTGATATTTACAGCCTGCCATTTGCTATTCTAGCCTTTCAAAATGTTATTCAACAAGTGGAGAGTGCACCTTATTATAAATGCCACAAAACCGAAATAGAACMAGAGTGGTTAAAACCTTCCTTCATCTTGGAGTGGCCAATGCATATAAAGCTTCAGTTCATACAAAGAAATTTCTTGAACAGAGTAAGACATTCATAATGATTAGTTAAACATCAGACTCATAATGATTAGCTAAAACAAGAACTTGCACACATTTCARTTTTGATCTTACCCCTTTAACATGTTCGAAGGTGACATTTTTCAACTGGATTGGATCAACTGCTGCATCAAAGATACTTGATGTTCGAAAGCGTACTAAGAGCAAACAGCAGACGACGAACAACAAATTTAYACACAATGTCATTTCATTCCAGGACTGAGCGCTGCACCTGAACACATGCCATTAAGACACTGACCTTATAACTGCCCTTTTGAAAGGGTAAGTTTCATGTGTTCATTTACAAGTGTCCAGCAGGAATAAGGTCAATTTTTTTTTTTTAAATCTTTACAATGTTTGCAGTTAATTCAGTGATACACTTTTTAATCRTGTGTAGTACAGAAAACTCTTCATCCAGAAGCAAGTACACAAAGCCAGAACTTCTCCCTCAATGTTTCTGAATATATCCTAACTTTCTAGAGACCCAGGTGATAACTTAGCATCAAGTCAAGTATCTCCAGTTACATGAACTCAGCCTTTTGATCATTACACCGTTTCAAAYAGATTTCTCAAGGTGGCAATTTGGCAATGCAAGTTGCTAGTTGCTATAAGTTAGGCTGTGATTACAAACTGAAAAATCACGCCATCTTGCCTACAGATCTACTTGATCAAACATCTTGCCAGGTCTACTTGATCTAGATAATGCATCATCTAATTGAAAGACAAATACATAACTGGTGAGCAGTCTGTAGTCTTCTCTAGCTCTGTGTAACTGCTTCAGCCAAAAGATATAAAATAGTTAGACTGACACAGAACCTTTTTATATTCATAAACATTGTGTCACAGTGTCATCTGAAAGGCTGTAGCCAGAACAGTAAATAACTCACAGGATAACTTTCAGTGTACTAATGAAAAACAATCACAATACAAAACATACTTAAATTATGCTAAATCTGCTGGAAAAAAACAACACAAGTGAAACAGTGTAGGAAAAAAAGTTAACTAACCAGCATCAGAAAAGGAACCTTTCCCAGGTAAAAATGATGAATATATAGCAAGATAAAAACAAAGAACGAAGAGAAAGAAAGAAAGCAAACGTGATCTTCTTAAGGAATCTGTAAAAGAAAATAAAAACATATTTAACATGGGCTAAAATAAACTCCTTTCTGATTGCAAAGAGAAGATATGTAAATTAAAACAACTTACCAAGTGTTTTTTGCAGGAATACCTGTGCTTTCAAAAAGCCTTCTGCAAAACCGGTTTTAAAAGCATCCTGGTGTGCCTCTGGGATGTTTTTTGTTTTCATTAGTGTATCTAAGTTTTCAACATCAATTCGTCGTTTTCTCAAGATAAAACCCTGCAATATTTTCCAAAGCAATGTTAGCACTCATCAAGTTTTGACACACTTAAGTTARCTGACCACCTGGCAAGAATGCTAGGGAAAAAATTACAAAAGCATGTGATTCATGTGCTGTAGGGTTAGTTAGATGGTACAGGGCAGTAGCTCGAGTGTGGAATCCCATCGGTTTGAGCAGGGGCACTCCCCCTTTTGCTGAGCAGATCAGTTTCGGAGCCCTTCCAGAACCCAGTTCCAAACTGAAAACGCAGCCTAAGACAAATCTGTACATAGCCAGCTTTGTTCACTGGATTCAATGGGACTTATTAGCTTAAGTTTTTTGCTTTATTTCCAATTGCAAAATATCTTTCCAAGTGTAGTTTTGATGGAGCTTAAGCAAATACMTCTCATATGCCCTATCAAATTTAAGAGCAGCACCGCATGGAGCTAGCTCTGGCTTATTTTCATCCACAGATGAAATAAACCATATATGCCTAGAAAAAGGGAAGAGTTTAAAGATAATTTACACACACAATAAAATCAAAAGCCTTAATTAGCCTGACTTCTGTACAACCAATTAGAAGCAAAARGTACCTAGGTTAACTCGGTTTCATTAGTGCGTTGCTACCCCAAACTTGGACAGTTTTCAGCTGACTTGAAAACACACATTCTTRTATGTTAAACTAGCTGTATTTCTGTTTAAAGAAATAATTCATTTGTCTAGAAGCTATTTTTAGTTTCAAAGCCACAAAAAACATAAGGAATTTAATTTCTAGAGAAATTAATTTCTAGAGTTTCCATCATTATATGCTAAAACTTCTCTCCTAAAAATTAAAATCATCTTATTATTGGTGATATACGAAGCAAATATGTGTAATAATAAGAAAAAACAATACATTGACATGCGCTCAGGTTTTAAATTTTTTCATGGTAGTGAAAGAAAACACCCCTGGTAAATTTTTAAGGTTCATTCAAGAGAAAGAGATGGTCTGAGTAAGCCTGAAACAACTTCATAATGTTACTCATATTTACCTTCAAAAGTGAAGAAAGTGAAGTTTTTGTTTCTGTGAATTGATCAGATGTGGACTGCAGACGTCTTGCTCTCGATCTCAAAGTCTTAAAGTTCCGTGACTGTATGTAAACTTTAAGGAGTAAGAATAAACTAAAGTTAAAAACTATTCATTACTACCACTACAAAAAAATCTTAAGAATTTTAAGGAACTATTATATGAAAGATTATGGAATATARTCTTTCCAACATATCCACTGTACTGTAAATGGATAGTTATGTGATCACAAACTCTATTTGTAATCTGCAAGCAAACTGCTGTTTCACATAAAATTTTATGCTAAAATAATCAGGAGTTCATGATGTAAATTACAGCTAATTGACCAACTTGGGGAACAGGAACCATTCAGCCAATTAAATCTAGACAGCGTGACAAACATGAAACATTCARAAGCAAATATAGAAGGATGGGAATAAAGCTTTGTCTAAAAGCTCTGCTGATAAGGGGCCCTGAGGAGATCTGGAATGGCTTCAGTGCACTGCTAACTTCCAAACTGAAAAAAGAAATGAGACCATTTAATCACAGTGAGCTTATAGCACTCTAAGTCATTTCCTGCCACATCAGAAAGCTTGTGATGGACATTTTATCAAAAGCCAACAATATTTATCTTCTTTCATTACTAGGTTTTAAAATAAACATGAATGCCAGTCAATTATATTGTTTCCACTAAGCTTTTTGTTTTTCTAGAACAGCACCAGATAAAAAGAACTTCTGCAGCTGACCTTTGAGCCCTGCTCAAAAAAGGTCTAACATTTGAACAGGTAGTTCTAGACCTTGTCCAGCTCARTTTTGAAAACCTCCAAGGATTAAGATAATCAAACTTCTCCAGACAATCTGTTTCAGAGCTCAGCCATTCTCATTGTGAAAATTTTCAAACAAATTGAAAATTTTCAATTTTTTTTTGCTTTTACTTGTGATTGCTGCCTCTTCTTTGAATTGTATGTGAGAAGGGTAACTGATAAAGTTCCAACAACAGCTGGATCATTCCTTTCCTTCTATTCCACTAACTAAAACCTCAAACCCTTCAGCTTCACCCTTGTATTAAATGTTTGGAAATCTGCACCCTTCCTTGTGGCCCATTACTGTGYTATCTCCATGTTGTCAGCTTCTCTTTTCACCACAGATATACCTAGATATACCCAGATMTATCCAGATGTAGCATCATAAGAATTGATGATGTATTGAGGACAATACCTGAACTTTCTGAACTCCTGATTATGTTTTCATTAATGCTCCAGTCACCAAACCCCTCAGAAAATTCAACTGGATGAATACTGGATTCAACATATTCACTGATTCAAAAATAGTTCATCCATCATCCTTCGAGAATATGACCCACAAATACTGACATCTTGGAGCAACATGTTGATTACTAAATTCTGGAAACATACTACACACAAATGCAAAAATAACTTCACAATTTAAAGTGTTAATAACAACGTAAGTTTCTCCTGGAAGCTTACTGGTATTTCCTAAGTGATGCCTCAATAACAAATGTAAAAATACTTTTCCAGAATAGAAAAATACTACAGAGATTAAAACCAGCAGCATTTATTGTTTTATACCTGGCCAAGACCGAACATCTGAACAGAAATTTTGGAGGGGATTAGGATGCTGTCTGTATAAACAAGATGAGCGTAAAACACTGAAAACRTCCACAAAACCTGCAAAAAGATACATCAAAGTGTAAATACACCCTATCTTAAATGGCAACTCAACATTATTTCKTGCACAGTTTAGTTTTTTAGTATCTTAAATATTAATTCTATTTTATTATAGTCCTCCAGGCATCATTAGTTAAACAAATTACCAGAACATCTATCAAAGCTTTGAAGCATTTCCAACTATTTTTTTCATTTTCAGGCAATTGTCACTGAGCTATTTTTTTCATCTCACAACACAATGCAATTTAATACTTTTCTCAAATAGCAACCCTGTAACATTATTCTTAACACTCTTTTTACTGCAATACTATATAAGCAGTATCTCAAATGTCAGCTATATACTTATTTTTCTAATACATTATTAGGTATCTACAATGGCCTTACTTCCTGCATTTTAAACTAATTCCAACAAAATATCTTTACCTCCCAAGAACCACTCTTGGTTTATTTCAGCAATGAAATACTCTACACGGACTGTTAACAGTTTGACACCTGGAACTCCTTTCTAATTAATAGATTTGCATAACATTGCTTCAAGMAAAAAATTAATAACAATGTAAACTGGAGATGTTTGTGACGTAAGTAGCAAAATCAAATGTATTGGTAAAAGTAAATTKGTGGAAAAATTCACAGGTAAGACTCATCATTAAGAGAAATACACTTGTACTACATCTGAGTTCAGAAAAGTTTAACAGCAACCAATTTGAAATCCAAAGAAACCATTTGTTGAATTTTCTAAATTGCCCAAGTTTCAAAAGCACCACTCTAGAGACAATCTATATACAACAAAAAATACATCAATACTCTTTTTATTGATTGTTTAACTATAAATTACCTACAGMATAAGAGATTACACTAAAGAATAATTCTATTCATCTTTATAATTTAACTCTCATAAACACTTCACTCAAACATACCATGCTTATTTTCAAAGAAGGACTGAGCAGAGACGTATGACGTATGCCACTGCGAGGAGACTTTGCTTTCTGTGCAGAAGCCAGGAAGTAGCCTGTTCACCAACTCTCTGAACTGGTTAGCTTTCAAATCAGACAATCCCAGATCTCTCAAATTTTTAAGTAGAGACTGAAAACCAGAAATAAATGTTTAAAATTTATGTGAGATTACCTCAGGGAAAAAAAATTCCCAGTAGCACCAGAACCAAATACAAGCTTAAAAAACCAAACCAAGCCAACCAAACAAAAAAACTCACAAAAACCCAGCAATGGAATCACAACACAGCGATGAGTAGCACAGCCCATGCTGATTTCCAAAGTTCTGCACTTACTGAAAGATTCCATGATTTTCTTCCTAACAATGTGCTTAGTTATAAAACTTGTAAGAAATGAGTTGAAAGAGAAGTGGCAATATCTGAYACTACTTCGCACTACCCATGTTTTAATTTTCAATGTCAACAAGAAATACACAATGATAAAGGTATTTTAATAGAAAAATAAAAGCAAACATGAAAATATGCCATTTAATCTCTCAAAAACCTTCAACACATCTTAAGCTATAGTCTATTTTCTCACAAACAATAATGAAACAAACTTTGCTAGAACTCAGAATAAAAAGATAATGYAGGCTTTACTAACAAAAAACTTATTGCTACTTTACAGAAAGAAACAATAAGTTGGAAATGAAAACAAAAAATGAAAAAAAGTCCCTTCTTCATTTCCAAAGCACTACTGAGACAAGTACCAGCTCTTCTTTTTAATGAAAGACTGTATTTTTGTAGAATCCTTACTGGCAAAGCACAAACTGACTGCAGTTCRCCAAAAAGTTACATTCTACATGTTAACATCCTGGTTTAGGATTCTTTCATCACACTACATTATTTTGTAGACCAGTCGAATATTACATTAATTTAAACTGATATCATTCAGATTTAATTTAGTTAAACCCAAACCACCACTTTTACAAAAGGTTTTTAGTACCTCACTCTTCTGGGGATCATGCTCTGGGGAGGTGTCCCTCTGGACAGGCTGTACGGATGCTTTGCTGGCACAAGTTTTGGAGCTTTTTGGTGAATGAAAGGCATTGATAAGGTGACTCAGAGGTACAGTAGCCTGGAAAAAAAATCAGATTATGACTTCAGCTTGTTTAAACTATTTATATATACTTCTATTCCAAACTCTGACTTACAATGGCATGTCTTGTACACCGCCTTTCAACTGAGGACTTAATTACAAACTACAAGAACTTATTTTCAACACCAGTGTTAGCTGATATATCTATTTACAGAGAAAAAAAATAGAAGTTGAATCATGTATGACAGATTAGAAGCTCATAWTTTCATCTCTAATGTAATACTATTTAACTTGAACTATCTATACTTTTGCCTGCATTATTGTACGCTATTCCCAAATGTTGCCTTTATGTTTTCTTTCTTGGGATCCCACCAGTAACTTTAGGGTCAAAATGAAACTATGCAAAGCACACAAGTCAAATCTGCAGTTCAGCAGCTTTCAGCCAACTCCACCTCATGAATCAGTATAGAAGTACAGGTGCACYGTGTACCAGGACTCCTCCTCTTAACACATGATTACATCTCTTGTGAATATATGCTACAGATAAGTCCAGCAGTTACAAAACTCCTCAGTCTCAGTGCACATCATTAGGAAGGAGCTGGGACACAAATCTTGCTGCTGGAATCACCYCGACTGCAATACCTGATTGAAGCTTAATTGGGTATGTTTATGAATTTGCAATCTGTGTGTTACTAGACAGAGGATCAAAAGAGACAATGCTGTGAGACACGAAAACTGCCTCATAATTAATTGTCCAAAGTTATAATTAGAGCTTATAGTAAAACCATACAGCCTCTAGAGGTCAAACCCAACATCCCAACCACTAACCAAACTTTCCTTCCGCTTTTCCCACGCCGGTGAAATGACACATTCCTAGAAACATACAAATTCTCCCATTTCACTAYTCTAATGAAAGTTATAAACACATTCTCCACATCTGGAAAGAACAATAAAATCCCACTGTGGAATAAGACTATCACACACCAATACAAAACATAAAAATAAAACCAAAACTACTGGTTCAGATCAAAGTCCATAAAACTCACTAGTTCCCTCAGACTCGCTAATTACTGATGCCTTCCCGAYTGCATTCGGACTGTTTTACGTAACAAATTACCAACGCACTTCCCTCCACTAACGCTTCCAAGTCAYTTCCTTTTGGCTTTCACAACCCGTTAAGATCAACAGCACACTTTAACTGTAGTATCACACATAACCACCCCTTGCTTCTGMGACAAAAACATCTACTAAAAAGCGYCATCTAAGGTTATTTCGTCGTTTCAGAATGCTTTTACTCTTTACAAGCCTTTACTGTAACGTTCTCTCTCCTCCTTTTATGTACTTCTTTCCCCGCTGCGGACCCCAGGCCGCCGCAGCCCGCACCCGCTCCTCTCCCCGCTGCCGCCCCGCTCACGCCCAAAGTCCCGGCCGGGAACGTGGCAGGCGGGATCKCGGCTCCTCCCGCCTCGGCCCGCAGCCCCCGGGCCTTGCGAGCGCCCTCCGYCCGGACAGGGAGCGAGCCCCGCCGGAGAGCGGGCCTGGAGAGCGGCGAACCGCGCACCACACCGGGCCGGAGCGCCCCGCCAGCCGCTCACCTGGGGCTGCACGGTGGAGAAGGAAAACATCCTCCCGGCGGGGCCGGCGGCRGCCGCAGGCGCTTCTCCCGGTCCCAGCCCAGCCGCAGGAGCCCGCCCGCTGTGGCCGCCGGCGGCTGAGGAGGCCCCGCCGCTCGGCTCGGGGAAATGTCCGCCCCGCGGCCGCGCTGACCGGGCSGAGCCGCCCCGGAAGCGGCGGCAGCCCAAAGAGCTTCCGGGCCGCCGCTGCCCCGCGCAGCCGCCRCCTCGCGGCCGAGCCACAGAGYGGAGCGGGCGCAGCGGGACCGGGGGTGCCCGGGCAGAGCAGCGTGCAGGACCCCGCGGGTGCCCGGGCAGAGCGGCGTGCAGGACCCCGCGGGTGCCCGGGCAGAGCGGCGTGCAGGACCCCGCGGGTGCCCGGGCAGAGCGGCGTGCAGGACCCCGCGGGTGCCCGGGCAGAGCGGCGTGCAGGACCCCGCGGGTGCCCGGGCAGAGCGGCGTGCAGGACCCCGCGGGTGCCCGGGCAGAGCGGCGTGCAGGACCCCGCGGGTGCCCGGGCAGAGCGGCGTGCAGGGCTCCGCGGGCGCCCGCTCCCCCCGGGGGCCGTGCAGCTGCCACAGGGACTGCCCTGCTCAGGGTCGTCGCCCTTGGGTGTTGTCTCGACCGGGGGCTCGTTAACCGGCGGGCAGCGCCAATTCACATGCCGAGCCGAGGAATTTCCAATTTTATTCTAGTTAGCACGAAGTAGGGACGGACATAGGTGGTAAGCCACGAAAGGCTGACTCACCGCTCTTTAAAACTTAACGCTGTACATTTTAACAAAGGCATCAGCRTTCACTGGTTACAAATWACATMATTCTTCTATTAMTTAGAWTTCAACCCCCTATTTGCTCGCTTCTCATTCTAATCAGTCTGTAGATGCAGTKCTTCCTTCCATGTGAGTCCATGGTCCGTTTTAAGTAGGTGGTCAGTCTCCCACTGCCAGAATTACCTTTCTCCCAGTTTACTGCTCAGTCCCAACTTCTGGTGGCTCTAGTCCAGACAGCCYATTCATCTTGGGATTGTCTTCGYTTTYCCTTAAAAGATCAGCCAAGTGCATGTTTCCAAAGCAATGGAGGATAGGGAGGTGACTCACAGCTTCAAGGGAAAATCCTCTCTGACCAACCTAATGACCTCCTATGATATTATATCTGTATCAATGGATAAGGGAAGGGCTACAGATRWMATTTATCTGGACTTCTATAAAGCTAATTATTTTGGGSGTTTATTAGTGTTTTCTTTCTTTCMCCTGACCATTGCTCTTCACTGAAARTGCTGTCCCAYACCAGCTTMCACAGCTCTGGAAGAGYGCAGCCACAGTGCTGCCTCCCCTGCCTTTGTGTACATCCCTTCTGTTTTTCACTAGCAGTCTCGTGATAAAAGTCACGTAACTCAGCTCGCAGGTTTGGCACAAACCTCACCTGACAACAGCAAAAAAAACTAAAAGGTGATTAATACCTACCTGGATCCACCCCATGAAGCAGTTTTCCACATAGCTGTTCAATGGCTCGTGTTGCCTCGAGGGAAGGGAGAGAAGGCATTACTCTCTCTCCCACGAGCTGAGGCTGTAGTGGAATACACACTCCTGACAACCTGTCATTGCGGGCACAACCTGACACCTGCACAGGATGCCAGCACAAGAGGCAGCCCCTCYTCCTCTCAGCTGGGTTTCTCTGCTGGCTTTGCAGCCGGTGAGACACAGCTAAACTAACACTGCAGAGTTAAATAACAAAGGTAGACAATGATACATTCTATTTAATACCTTTATAGAAAGCTAATTAAGAACATGTTTTCTACATCTGCTCATTATGTTGCAGGAGTTGCTGAGATCTGTGGGATAGCATTTCTCCTTCACAAGCACAAGACCTCTCTGAGCAGGATCAGATTRTAAGTGATGCATCTCGGAGCCAAACAAGGGCCTAATGACCAATCTACTGTGTTAATGGGGACCCACTGTTCTGCACCAACCTCTGCAGTGATAGATCTTTGCTGATGCACAGATTGCAACAGAACAATTAAGATCGGTGTGAATGAAATATAAACAGCAGTGTATATGTGAAAGCAACATTAAAGCAGTAAGGCAAGGGTTAAAAAARTGGCCTAGAACACAGCTGAGAGCAGTAAAACTGGTAAACACTGAGGGCTGTGCAATGTACACAGAGCAGAAGGCTTGTGCKCTGGGAACAGGAGGATGGCAGCTAGGTCAGAGCATGCTGTAAATGCCATCCCTGCCCCTGCTGTCACAACAAGGAGGTGGAATGTAGCCATGGAGATAYCCAAAATAAGGAAACCAATTGCAGAACCACCCTGCCTCAGATAAATAGCAGATGAAGTAATCAGGAATTGGTGGGAAGCCACAGATTCCATTAATCTAACTCCTAATCAGTGTAGACCYGCCCAGGGAGCAGTTTGTTTCATCACCAACCCAGAGAACACCAAGACACCCTAAGGGATGAACAGCAAAAGTGGTAACTGGGCAGGGCATGTTCTCTTGTGCTCAAGTCCTCCTGCCTGTGCCATTTGGACACAGCCTTTAGAACTAACAAGTACACAAGTGTGAGAAAATTATAGAAACACAGAATATTCTTGACCTAGAAGGGACCCATCAAGATCATTGAGTGCACCTCCAGTCCCTGCACAGGACACCAAAACAATCACATCATGTGCCCAAGAGTGTTGTCCAGATGTGAGGGAAACATATGAGAAAATAATAACGTGAAACCAAAGTCAGTTATTTCTTTCTGAACAAATATTGTTTTCCAGTTCCTTAATGTCTCACACCAACTTCTGTTGAATTCTTATACCTTCAAACCTCCCACGGGAATGAGGGGACAGTCTACTTGCTCATGGCAGGTTACAGCCCAGCCCCAAAGTGTGAAGCGAGCGGAGCAGCGGTCAGCGAGCGCCCAGGGACGGTGTTTTGTCACAGGCCCGCTCTGAGCAGGGCCCAGGACGGCACCGAGCGCCCTTCACCGCCGAGCTTCACCATGGCCGCGGCCCGGGCAGGCTCTCGCGAGAGCGCCCGCTGCCCGTTGGTGACGGCACGGCCGGGGCGGGGCCGGCGTCGCTTTGAATCGCGGCGGGGCCGGGGCYGGCTGCGCCATGGCACCGGAGCGGCCCGGGGAAGAGGGCGGCGATGCCGCCAGCCCGAGCGCCGCCACAGCCCCCGGCCCGAGGCGTGTCGAGGTTCCCCGGGCCCCTTCCATCGAGGAGTTCACCATCGTGAAGCCCATTAGCCGCGGCGCCTTCGGGAAGGTGTACCTGGGCCGCAAGGCGGACCGGCTCTATGCCGTGAAGGTGAGAGGTCGCCACGCTGTCGCCTTCGCTTCCCGTGAGGGAAAGGGGCATCCTGAGGGGACAGGGAGGCGTGAGCCCCCAGCATGAGTCCCCGGCTCTCGGGGAGCGGCCTCTGCTTGATGCCCTGGGACGCGCTGCCCACCTGCCTGTGCCCCGCTCTCCCCGCGTTAAAGTCCCGGAGGGTTTGGTCAGGGGACCTCTGATAATGACAGCTGCTTTTGTAAGTACTTTAAATAAGGGGAAATAAAGACAAAAACCTTGCTAAGCGATAGAGCGCTGTTGGCTTGTCACTTGTAAACAGTTGCTRTAGCTGAGCCCCCTCAGCTGCTGCGCCTGCCTGGGGGCGAAAGCACTGCCTCTGAGATGCAAGACAAGAACAAATTATAAAAAGCGTTCTTATCGAGTACGTATCTTCTAAAAAAACAACAAAAACATGTTGCGTTTTTTGTGTTGTTGCACAAATAACTAAAATCAAGGCTTGTCCTGAGTAACAGCGTCACCAATCATTTGCATGAAACTGACTGATTAAAAGGGTTATAACAAGCTGCATAGTACACAAAGAATAGGAAACATAAAAATAGTCATACATAATAGGCATTGCTCTGCAGAGCTATATGCGTTTGTTTACACAATTTTATTATGAGCATTTTGAGATTAAAGCATTTGTGTACTCTGTTTTGTTTTTCAGGTGATGAAAAAAGCAGACATGATCAACAAAAATATGGTTCACCAGGTGCAGGCAGAGAGGGATGCRCTGGCTCTCAGTAAAAGTCCTTTCATTGTGCACTTATACTATTCACTTCAGTCAGCAAACAACGTGTATTTAGTGAGTAAAATAATGATTGTGGTGTTTTATAGTAGTCTTGAAAATTGAGTGTGAACTGTACTGATATCTGAAAACATTTTTGTAACGGCATTCCTTAGTCACTTTTACATCTTTCTCAGAATGGCTGAGCAAGTAAAATRTTTCTCTTCCTCTGATATCTTTGGGGTCTTTCTGCCCTTGTTCCCCTCTCTTACAGGAGAARCTTTTCTAATAGCTACTCTGTCTCTGATATAGGTAGAAATCTTCGGGAAAATGAAACGATATTGTTCAAGCAGAATCCAAGTGACRGAAAGATACTCCATGCCTCACTTAAAGGAAACCTATTTTACTTACTGCCTGTGCTTAAATTTTGTTATGGTTGTTTGCCTACATGAGGGTAACAGAGTGGTAGAATTAAGTGCTGGTCCACATGGAGCGCTGTGGAGCACAACAGGACTTGTGTATGGGTTTATATTCTGCCTCCACGTAAGGATTCAGACTGTCTGCAAAGGGTCTGGCATAATTTGTGTGGATTGCTGTAAGCACGCATAGGGAACAGCTTGATGAAATTCTGAGACGAGTTGCTATTCACTCCTAGAATGCATTTAGAGTGTAAACGAAGGCTTCCTTTTTTGGAATCTCRGAATTGCTGCATGGAGTAGAGAACTTCAGGATGAAGGATTTGTAAAGRAGATGCTAGAATCATGTCTGAGTGTGTGTGTACATACATTTATGGAAGAATAGTGTATATTGGAATATAAGTACTGGTGAGAGTTCCTAACCAAAACCCCATAAATGCATTCTTGGCATCAAAGAGTGAGTTTCAGAAGCTCTGCTGACTCTTATTTTATTTTGAATATGGCATGGGCTATCATAATGTGTCTGCATAATGGTTTACTGGGTGTGTGTATTCTTTTTAGACACTCTTTTTCATGTGTCTTAAATGTACAATAGCTCTCACTGTATGCATTTTTGACAATTTGTACTYATTTCACAGAGGTCAGGTCTGGGTTTAATATTGTGTATAAATGATTGCYAAATAAAGTGTTGAGATACTTTGATTTGTATAGGACAGGTGGTCTTTGGCTTTAGGCCTTGAGTTTCAAAGGAATGCTTTGCATTTAATTTTCTCTAATATGGAAATATACAATATAAATACAAATAATGTATTAATATAAATGTAAAATTAATATACATTAAAGTATATAATATTTCATATAGAAATGTATAATATTTCTATAATATAGAAAGTTTTCTGTAGTCAGCTCTCAAAGCTATAGTCAGCTTTTTAGTTAGCTTCTAAGASTAATCTAGGCAAATAAAATAAGCAAATGGTCTATGGAAAGAAAATGTTTTGTGTCTGCTGTTATTTGAAACTTTAATTTTTTTATTCAAGTGAAAAGCATTGTGTGGGAATTGAGGTTTGCACAAAGTACTTCCATCTGCTTCAGCTCCTTGAAATCGTTTTTCTGGGGTTGAAAGTTATTTTGTATTTTACTTAGGATTTTGAAACATGTTTTAAATTTTAAATTAAAATGATTGAATGACAGGTGATGGAGTACCTTATTGGTGGAGATGTCAAATCCCTTCTCCATATTTATGGATATTTTGATGAAGAAATGGCTATTAAGTATATTTCTGAAGCAGCATTGGCTCTTGACTATCTTCACAGGCATGGAATAATCCACAGGTAACTTTTTTTCCCTTATAAATAAGTATTTGGTAGTTTGGGTTTTTAATTTTTTCACTCTATCTCATAACCAATCGCCATTTCATTGTGGCAGCTACACAGGTACCTCATTTGCTGGAACTCCTGGAAACTTTTTGAAAATGTGCGCTGCAGCAGTGTCATGAAACAATGCCTAAAATCAAATCTGTCTGTGTGTGCTGAGCACACTAAACCACATTGCTTTCCCCTGCCAGCTCTTTCCCAGTCCTGTGGTGTATTAGCAGCTGTGTTGGTTCAGGAACTCCCTGGGGACTGCACACACGTAGGACAAAAGGACACTGACTACCCTAATGTTCCCCTGTAGTGAGCATTTGCATTCAGCAGTGCTACAGAGAATGCACTTGAACACTTTTTCTAGAGGTTTGCTTGTTATCGGTAGGAGCTGCACGTTAGTCAAGGTTATGATGGGTGCTATTTGTGAAGGACACTTATTGAGCCTGCTAAAACACAAAATATACAACTTTTGATATGCATGCTGKTTTTTACAAAGCCTGAGATGTTTGTGCCTTATTTAATGCCAAATATATTTAATGGTTTTGGTGTGTTCCTCAAACTGGAATCTTCTGCTGGCTAAGAGATGCTACTGTAAATTAGCTCTAACAAATGTTTTATATTGAGTGTTTCTGGTCAGTTTACTTTCTTAGTGTTGCTCAGTGATCTCTTTGCTCACTTCAACTATATTCATATTTTCAGGGATTTGAAGCCGGACAACATGCTCATTTCTAATCAGGGACATATAAAGCTGACAGATTTTGGGCTTTCCAGAGTTACTCTGAATAGAGGTAAGAGTTATCTCTACCCTTTTGGCTGTATTAAAATGTATTTTTGTATCRCATTTCTTGTGTACTTTACATCCCTGTAGAGGGCACCTTTCAATTAAATAAGTGCAAGTGTTGCAGTAATACCTGATTTCTGATGGGTGAGTGCTGATTAGCTATGTGCTAGTAAGGGGTCTCCTCTTTGCATTGCACTTCACAAGGTAAAATATTTATTTTTTTTGGAACAAGGATGTATGAAATATGATTTAGAGCCTTTTCTTTGGAGATATATGGATTTCAAAGTTTTCTGAAATCTGCTGGGTGATTTTAATGAGTGAATGGAAAATTCTGGCTTGTTCCTGTTTCTCGGGCTGCTTCTGCCCTTCAGTTCCTGTATACATTAAGTTCCAATATATTAACCGGGACACTCCAGCCATTATTTGAGAGATGGGGGGACGTACTAAGTCCATAAGAGAAAATTAGATYAGTGCTTTGCCATGTGAACATTCTCTTTTGAAGTAGCAGAAAATATAGYTGAAGAGTCATGATTGTCTGGCACAGGCTGCAGGTCTTAAGGTGAATAGCCAATTTCTGAGCTGGCTTGTACATTCCTTAGATCATCCAGATTTATCCTGCACAGCACCAGTTTAGGTTTCTTGAGACAGCTGCTGGAGGGTGCATCCTTTTTATATAGTGAAAGGAATGTAGAAATCCACAGTTGTCTGTGGAGTTTGATTCATGGCTTTAAGAGCATAGAAGAAAATCCTAAGTATTCTGTGTTTTGTGTGATATACTGATATATTAAACCTTTTCTYCCTCTTCATGAAACTTTAACAAAGGTGAAGTTGCAGATATTTAATATCAAAATAAAAACCTGACCTATTTGWTTTTGTTATTTTTCTCTGTAGAGATAAATATGCTAGATATCCTTACTACTCCATCAATGGCAAAGCCAAAACAAGACTACTCACGTACTCCAGGACAGTTGTTGTCTCTTATCAGTTCTCTGGGCTTTGTAAGTAGTTTTCACTGTCTTTGAAGTACTTCATCCTTTCAGTCTATTTACTATCTTAAATTCAATAATTGGCATGATAAGGCTATTCTTGCATCTATTCTGCCAGCTGRTAGAATGACTTAGGGTATGTTTTGAGTACTTTGAAATTTTGAAGTGATTACCTTGGACTGTGTTTTAAATTTCTGACTTATAAATGGGCATTGCCAAGCTCCAATGCAAACATAATAAAGAATGGGTGAAGTTACAGTCTCAATCCTGGATTGAGAATTTGTTTAGACTCCATTATCTTTTAACTGTGCTTCTTTCTGCTTGTTAGTATACTCCTCCTGTTAGAGTGAAAGTGCCAGGGCACAATTCAAGTAAATCGTCTGACAGTCTGCATGGCATGGTTTCTCCTGTACCTGTGGCCCAAAAGGAAAATACCCCTCTTTCAACTAAATTATTCAAAACACGTGAGTAAACCAAGCCTTGTACTGAGGAATAATCTGGTTGTAATCTGGTGTTTTTTTAATTTTATATGAGTAATTTGGATTCACTTCATAAAAAGTGTGATTCTATCGGTGGCTTGCTGTCCACCATTCCTCCAGCTCTATACATCTGTCATGTTTTCACCTACACTACATATGTCAYATTCTAAAGTGGTTTTGTTTGTTTGTTTTTGAATCACAGCCACTGAATTCAAAATCACCCTTTCAGATTGTACAGAAATAGCGTCAGTTCTTGACATACTTTCACTGAAAATTGTTTAATACAGYAATGTATGCTTTCATTTAAATTATCTTACTGCTTTCTCATTTCTAACCTGAAAAGAGAGAAGACAGCTATGCTGCCAATGTTTGTACTACTTTTATATTCTTGGCAAGTCCCTAATTCAAAAAACACGTGAATTGACTATGCAGAAAAGATAATAACAGAAATTGTTGTCACACTTAGATTTCCATATCTTCCTTTGATGTGAAAGCTTAACATAGTGTGAAGTCAGTCAGTACATGTTGCCTGTTTGTATCAACATTTGAATTTTTTTTTCCCCTCAAGATCTTGATAATTCTCAATTAACACCTGTGATGCCAGCGAGAAGTTTAACTCCTACTCTACTTCAGTCAAGAAAAAGGTTTGGTAGCTCCAGTGTCAGTAGTCAGTCTCACACACGCCYGTCCAGTGTGGAATCAGAAAGCTGCAGCAGCCCCAGGTGGGAGAAAGATGTAGAGGTCAGGACTGTTTCATCTTCCCACTATAAATTAAAATTAGTTTGTACATGTGTRTGCAGTGTTGCAAATGTCTTTTACTTACTTGCCTCATTTACTTACTTGCCTTTATTTGCTCAGCATTGCAGACAAAAGAATTTCTTTAAAAGACAGAACTTGGGAAAACAATAAACAAAATACACTYCAAAATTCTGCTAGCTGTTAAACTGAAAGAGTGTAGGGTTTAATACTGAAGGCTTTTCTGTCAACTAACCTAACACCAATAAATRTAGTTGACACAAAATATTTGGAATCCTACTTTAAAATGTTAAGGAAATTCTGTAAAAATACATACCTAAAACAAAATGCTSCTGTGCTATATAGTTTCTTGCCATGATTCTTATTTAGATCATACAGAAAAACTTATATTTAAAACAGTTTGTAATTCTATATCTATCTATTTCTTAAGACCTTGGTTTTTAGTATTGTATTATCAAAACATTAGTAAGATCAGATTTTCCTTTTGTCATCTCTGGAGTGTAATATCCCACAGGATTATATGATAGGGTTCTTTGCTTAGGGCTTTCTTGGAAACTGAAAACTTCTGTAGCTTAATTTCTTAACATAAAATCACAAATACAACTTTAATTGTTCTATTTTTTTCATCTTTAGCCATTTAAAAATGTGGCATTTTCTGTTGTATTCTAGCAACCTTATTWAATGTTCTTAAAATAAGTCAAATTATCAAGTTATCCTGAACTTGGTTTTGTGGGTTTTTGTTTTTTTGTTTTTTTTTGTAGTTAGAAGTATAGTTTTTCACTAGTACTAGCTAGAAAGAATGAATAATGCTTGCAAATCTGCATTGCATTATGAAGGTGGAAATAATTACACATTTCTTTAGTGCTGTAATCCTATTTTCCTCGGTATTCAAAACTTAATGTGCTCATTTGCAGCAAAGTGAAGATGCACCTCGTTCTACAACATGCAAAACCAGTAACAGTGGATCAGCTCTCCTTTTGAATGTTGAGTTGCCAAATAGGAAAGGTACTGAAGTTTTAAAGACAAAAGAACTTGAGTCTGCCATTTCTCCCATTGTCAGCAATGATTCTGGCAGTAGGCGGAAGCTGGGAAGTGAACATTTGGATATAGCAGATACTCCTGTGAGCACTCTGGRTGTGAAAGGCATAGTGAGAAAATGTATTTCGGAAAATAAGATTTGGAAAGAAAAAGTCATTGTAAATAAAAGAGATGTGACTAATGAAACAGCAGAGACTTCCAGTCTACAACAGTCACCTTCAAGGCAGAATGAGCCTGTCAAAGAGGAAGAAATGTTTGAAAAGCCAGGTGTAAAAAGAAGCTTTGAATCAGTTGACACTAGTCCTTGTCAGGAACTTAACTATGTTAAAAAAAGTAATGCAGAATATAAACGTGGCTGTCAGATCACAGAATTTCCAGCAAACAAAGGGACAGGTTTGACAACAGAAATTCAATCCTTAATGCTCTGTAATGACGGATGCCTATGTGACACCTGCAAAAGCAAGGAAGAAGTTAAGAGTTCTATTAGTAACCTGGAAACTGAAAGATTGCTTACTCCAACTATAGCCAAAAATCTTATGTGTGATCTGGAGGCAGACTGTGGAAAGGATGATGAAAAGGAGTACATGAACTCAAGTTTTTTAGGCATTGAAGATGAAAAACCTTTAGGAGTCTTCAGTGCAGATTCTGATTTACTTCCTGAAATCTCTGTTACAGAAAGCCATCTAGAAAAGCAGCTTTTAGATTTGGACAAAAGTGTTAAAGACCTCTCTTTTGAGGAACCAAAACCTGAAGATGTGCTAATAACATCACCAGAGTCCCAAGATGCCACACAAAATGGAGAGAAAGYACATACAGTCCAGGACTTTGGGCCATTACATCAGAAAAAGGATAATGRCCAGAAACAYGYGGAAGAAACTTGCCTTGGCACAGTWGCTTCTCCTTCAGAAAAGATGATGGAAGCACTGAGTCTCTTAAAAAAAAATGCTGTTGTTTTTCGAAGTTACAATAGTCCAATCAATGTATCCAATGCATCTGACCCATGTAGCATGGCTTCTTTAGAAATAATGGATCTTTCACCTGCTTGCAGTGGCTCCTATCCAACAGCTATCACTCCATTACAGAAAGGAAGACCATATCAGTGCTACCAGGTAGGTAAGGAGACAGGTAGAAACTTTGTGCATGCATTGAGCATTAGGACCTAAAATTATTTCAGTGGGAAATTTAGGGAAAACTTGAGTAGTTTGAGGTAGTCTCTCAAAATGACCTTTGCTGACAGGGTTTCACTTGCTGCACTTGTGTGGCCAGAATTATAGTTTCTGTAAGAGTTTAGCATCTTTATSTTCACTGGCTTGCCTTTGGCTCAATGTCCACTGACTGTCCATCTCTGAGAAATCTTTGCTGTTAGGGTGAACTGATTAAAAAAGCCTGTKCTATTGTATCTCATTCTGCTTCTAGTGCAGTGCTGTATTTTCTGTTAATGGTTGTAGGTTTCCTTTTGTAATGGGAAGTCTTTGTCTAGTTTTCATCTTTCTTTGTCCTGCACCTTTCTCAATGTAAATGCTGTTCAGCTGCTGGTAACTGCCATTGTGCCTGCTCTTTTTTTTCATCCTGGTGAAAGTGACGGTGAAATGTATACTGTCATGTGCCAGTGAGAAGCCTGTTACAAAGATTGGCATAAACAGTCATAGCTGCTGTGGATGTGACACTGRAGGAAGAACTTAGGGGAAATTTTCTCAAACAGTAGGCATCTTAACTTTATGCTTCAAGACTGTTGAGGTAAAGCAGTAGAAGCACATTTCACACATACTTTTAARGGAATGTTTTGTGACTTGTTCTTGGCTTGAATTCAAGTAGCAAGTCTCCATGACTAARCCTGGAGATGGGAGTTTTTGAGCTGGTTTTCTTTGACATCTGAAATCTTTGTCCTGTCTTTTAAGACCCCTCATCGGATRGATGCTGGCACACCATATAGGACTCCAAAGAGTGTTAGAAGAGGAGCTGCCCCTGTAGAAGGTGAACGCATCCTGGGGACCCCAGACTACCTGGCACCTGAGCTGCTTTTGACACAGCCTCATGGTAAGACAAACCAGCCAAATCTTCCCTCACTAAATGTTTTGCATATTGAGATGCTTGTAAATGCAGTTTTAATCCTAAATAAAATGTGTTACAGCTTCATGTTACAACATGCTTCTGACTTCAGTTTAACATTACCATCTTTTTTTATTGTGGAATACTATCTTATAAAAATCTGCATTCCTATGCCCTCACAGAATCRTACTTGATATTTGATGTTTGTTATGTTTTTTTGGCAATAATTGTAATATTTTTACTTCATTGTCTTTTCATATGCAGGGACTCTGATCTCTGGTGAGTTGTCTGTATCTGTGCAGAACTGAAGTGTTCAGCATAACTGAACAGTCAAAGTATAACTAGATCACAATTGCCAAGAACAATTGGGGTGAACAATGTTTCTATGTGGAAAGACATATCCAATATGCTTCCACATAAGAATATGTGAAGCTCACAGAGTCAGGAAACATTGGTATCAGCGTGACTAAGCTATCAGAAATCACACATGTAAGCATATACTTCAGAAGGAAAGTCAGCATTCCTAAATTGTGAAACAGGAAGTAAAGCCAGACGCACCTTTTCTCATTGCTGCCTTTCACTTGATGCACTCAGTCTGATTTACTTTGTCTATGGGTGAAGAAAGTCACGTGCTCAAGACCTGGAATTATTGCTTCTTGCTTTRAATCACAGAATCACAAAATATCTCCATTTGGAAGGGACCCACAATGATCATTGAGTCCARCTCCTGGCCCTGCACAGGACAGCCCCAAGARTCACACCATGAGCCTGAGAACATTGTCCAAATGCGTCTTGAACTGTCAGGCTTGRTGCTGTGACCATTGCCTGGGGGAGCCTGTTCCAGTGCCCAGTCACTCTGGGTGAGTGACTTTTCCTGATATCCCACCTAAGCCTCCCTTGGCACAGCTTCATGCCATCCTCAGGCCCTGTTTAGCAGGGATATGGTAGGAGTTGATCTAATTTTAGTTGGAGTTTGTGTGGGAAAAATTTCTGCTGAAACCTGGTTATTACATTTTTCAGAGTTGTGATCTTATTAGACTTTGACTGGAGCTGGGAGTATTTTACTGAACATCCAAGTGCTCTAACAACAGTGGATGTGGACTCACTGCTTTGATGTGCTTAGCTTGGTGGGGCACTCTTACTGCTGTTAAAACTTGTTAAAAGTATATTAGATTACTGGTTAAACATTTTGATTTTCAGCATTTCTAAACTTAACAGTAGTCTTTGTGAAATGGCTCAAAATATTTATTTTCTTGAAGGTGTGTTAGGTTTTTTAAATGCCAAAAAAGCAAAGAACAATTAGACTTCTTACCTTTCAAAGATTTTTTTAACAGTTATGGTATTTAAGTGGAGTGGGCATGGCTTGAAGATGCAGRAAGCTTAGAATGCATGCAGCGGTGTCTGGGATTGCTTTGCCTGCTTGTTTTGATGTAGATTAATAAGAGAGATTGGCAAAAAGACCAAAACCCTGGAATGTGGAAAACCAAAACCATTTAATAAAGAAGAGATTGCTAAAGATAACTACACATTGTCCCAATCAGTTCAGTGTAATGGAAGGTAATGCCAGCTTCATGCTTGCTGGCTCACTGCTGCAAGCTCTCTTCATGATATTCACAATAATTTAGACAAATGAAAATTAAGTTCAATAGTTCAAAGTTTTGGAGACTTTTTAAAGAACTGTGAGAAAGGCACAGGCAGCAACATGGAGCATTCTTGTAGTCTCTAGAGCACTCATGAGGCTTCTGCTTCTTATCACAAAATAATCTCTTGGAGAAGTCAGCTCTTGCATTCTCTGTGATGGGAGTTGATAATTAGAATTTTACTGAGAGACCCCTTGGTTTTGTCTGTACACCCCAGTGTTACCTATAATGAAATAAGGAGCAGAGTGGCTTTAAATAGCCTTTTAATATGTTCTAAACCTGCATTAATATTAAATACAACTTGTTTTGCCTCTTCATAATTTTCAAGGAACTTGCAGAATTTAAACACTCTTCAGTTTCTGTACTCTTCAAGTCTTTGTGGTTATCATCTGTGTAAGTATAATGATGTGGATTTGTTTTACCAGGTTCTGCTGTAGACTGGTGGGCCCTTGGAGTTTGTTTATTTGAATTTCTAACTGGAATTCCACCTTTTAATGATGAAACACCAACACAGGTCTTCCAAAATATTTTGAAAAGAGGTAATCTGTTTCAGCAATCGGGGTAAGAATGTATTTCCAATGTATGTTTATGGTTTGAATTACCATTTCTATCTTTGTAGATATTCCCTGGCCTGAGGGTGAAGAAAAGCTGTCTGATAATGCCCAAAATGCAATAGATATTCTTCTAACCGTTGACACTACTAAGAGAGCTGGACTGAAGGGTTAGTATTAAAATTGTTCCTTGCAACTAATTGCAAATTTCAAAGTGGTGATSACCTCCTCCTGAAACAGACTAATAAGCTTCAATGCCTAACCAGGATCCAAGTATAGTACCATAACACTTAACAAGTTGGGGTATTTTCTGTATTTCTTGTGGGGGATTTTCCTTCTTGAGTAAGGTCRTTCTGGGGGTGCCCAATGACAGCCAAATTAATTTTTTTAATTGAATTTCTGTTTTGCTTAACTGCGGTTCTGCTATGCATGTTTAGTGTTCGATATCTGCTGATGAAACCAAGTTCTCTCTTATCTATTGAATATTTGGAATTTTTAACGTAAATGACAGTGGGAACCTTGATTAAAAGATTATAGTTTAGGACAGAAGCTTCCTACARCAAAGTTAATTCAGAGAGAAGTTTTGCCTTGGTAATCAGCTTGCCTTTGCTGAATGCATAGGAGAATACGAAGTCAGACAATATATACAACATAAAGTCTACTTTTCTTTCCCTTGCAGAAGGGCTTAGACATTTGCTATTGTTAAGAGTGACTATGTTTTATTAAAGAAAAAAGTTGGTAACGTGAAAGAAACTTAGCATGAGGTGTTTTGGAAATAGAAGTCTTATGAGAACTGCTCAGGAAATCACTAGGGAAGGAAATTACTGTGGAAGTGCTTATAAAGAGACTAAATGCTAGAAGCTGAAATCAAGCCAAATTAAATTAGCACAAGATTATGAATGAAAATTATTATGTCAACAGAAAACCCTGTGGCTTTAATATTTCCCACAAAGCAATTTGAAGGTGTTTTAGTTAAACACAAGTAACTATCTTTATTCCTGGATTTTAGAGTGAAATATAATTCGCTGTTAAGGATAGATATTRAAACTAGATGACATAACGGTTTCTTCCTATCTGAGTTTCAAAATTCATTCTTTGTCAAGACTTAAAACTGTATCTCAATTGTGTCTTACAATTGGTCTCTTTGTCCGATTTATAATCCATTTATAAGTGCAGTTGGATGAGGACAACCATWAAGTTTTTCTCATTGTACTTAAGTTTCCATCACTCTCGTCTTCTCTCCCCTCCCCAAAATGTGTGCTCTCCCTTCTATTGCTACAGCATGAAGCCTTTTGTACTGGGAAATCCCTGTTATGTTTATTGTAGTGCTTTGCTTCTCTGAGTTCAATCTTCCTTGGGACGAGCAGCTTTAAAGCTGCTTTTGGCTCAATGCACTGTGTGGAACAGGGTCTGTGGATGTGGGTGGCAGCTACTCGTCATGCCAGCAGTTTGATCCTACTAAAGTTGGGGGTAGTCAAAGCCCAATTGCAATTTGCACTTTTATGAACTTCTGAAAAGGAATATATAGCAAATCTACTGACATTTATAGATGAGAGAAAAAAGTGACTATGGGGCTTGGCCTTTACAAAGTTCATAATGCTTAYTTGAACTTCTGTTTCAGAACTGAAGCATCACCCCCTCTTTCACGGGGTGGACTGGGATAATCTCCAGAATCAGACTATGCCGTTTATACCTCAGCCGGATGATGAGACTGATACCTCTTACTTTGATGCTAGAAACAATGCTCAGCACCTGACTGTGTCTGGATTTAGCTTATAGCATCAAGATAAGTGAACATTTTCCATGGTTTTGCACATTTACAGGTTGTTTTGTAACCCTAGTTTGGTCTTGACTAAGTTTCCTTGCCAAATTTAGTGTGTTTCAAGTTACCAGTCTGTTTTTATTATAGTCTCCTTTATTCCAAAGTGAAACTACTGTATGGAACTGGCATCAAGGGCCTTCATGCTGCTTTTTCTCTCACTGCACCTTACTAAGAGTATTGCATTTCTTGGAGCTAATAACTCTTGGCAGTAATGGGGCTTTTAAATAGCAATTAATTATTCCCATTACTAAGTGTGGCGTTATTTCCCAGCTAAACTAATATGGAAAGGATATTAATTATTTCTAATTGTATTTAATTAATAACTAACCTATTGGTGGTTCAAKGTGGTGACAGGCTGGGTTGAGAGCAGTCCTTTCTGACCAGTGTGAATATATATCCACTGTGCAAAAATGGTCATTTCTATTCAAGGTGTAAAATTGAAATCTCAATGCAACATTGAAATGTCTTGTCTTCTGTTTTTCTTATTCCCAAGAAGGGATGAGAACATGCAATGGTGTTCCRAGTTAACTCAGCTAGAAGTGGCATGAGAGATGGGCAGTAGTTCCTCTGGTTATTATCTGTTCTTAGAGAGAAATGGGGCAGTGAATGGATACTTGAGGCAAGTCTGTTAAACAAGTGCTCTGCTCAAATTGTTGCATTGTAGCCACTTGGGCTGTAGGAAGCTGGACTGGACATACATTTTGGCAGTTACTGGTTTTATACAGAAAATGCCCAGTGTGTGTGTGTTCACTTGTCAAATGACAAGTGACAGGTGCTTTTTTTTTTTTTTCTAACAAGTAGTATTCATACTGAAGCTGCCAAATGTGAAAGACCATAATGTATTGCAGATTAATGGATTGTTCTGTAAATTCACAGCCAGAGCTTGGATTTTGACTAGAATATAAGGTAGAAGTGTATATTCTGTATTATAAATCTGAATTAGTGGGAAGTATATTTAAATTTATCTTTAAATGCAATACAAAACTTGTGTCTGCTAGGTTTTAGAGGATTATTTGTAGATATTCCTGTTTAAATAATCTTTGGTATTTTTCTTGCATAAGTATCTTTCTCTAACTTAAAGAAGATTTTAATTTTTCAGGTTTCTGCTTGTTAGATAAAGATCATTTGTGCTAGATGGTATTGGCAGCCAAGGGCCAYGTGCCAGAAGCCATTTTGCCAGTGATTTTTGCCAAATGGCTTTTGGTTTCATGAACCGACCCCTTTTTATAGTAGTAGTGAGATGTCCCTTCATTACCCTGCTTCCTGGAAGACAAGATTTATTGATGGAATTCTGAGCAGATAATGTCTGGTAGGCTTCCTGCTATTCCCTCAGGTTGCTCAGAAAGGAATGAGAATGGTGAAGAAAATGGAATTTCGCTATAAAGATCTCAAGAGAGCTGATTCTTAATAGCCCAGAATAACCAATCTCAGCTCTAGGTGTGATAAACATGTGAAGCAGAATCTTGGCAAATTGCAGAACATACAGTGCATCTCCTTTGATAAGAATGGCTGTTCCAGAAAACTTCTGAATTGTTCAGTCTCATTGAAATTGTTACATGGAAAAGGTRCAAATAAATGAATGCACTACTGAAGCAGTATTCATAGTCAACATTCTCTGGTGATTTTCCTGTGTGCAGTTAGAATATATAAACTAGGGTAGGAGGGTTCCTTAAYCACTGGTATTTTATGCAATTTATTCTTCCATTTCTAGTAATGTGGTTTAAGAAAGCATGCTTTACAAGAATTAAATATTGATTACATGTTTAAGAAATAATATAAACTRAACACCTACAGTAGGTCTTTGTATTCAGTGCTTCAGTGCTTTACAAATGCTTTACCTGTTCCCATTGGGCATTGTAACACATTCCCGTCCTGTCAAGGTGGAAGAAATTTGTTGCAGTGGTATAATCTTGTCTAACCCCTTGAAATAATWCTTAACTGTCCACAAGGGCCAAGTAATCTTCTATAAAAGCCTTATTCTRAAAGAAAATTGTGGTCTTTCTACCAGTTGATTAATGCAATACAAAAMCASAGAATCTGTAGAACAGTAAAYGGGCCAATTGACAAATGCTAATGTTTTATGCAMAGTTCTCACTACACTGCTATCCAAAATTTAAATTTTGCACAATTAGCCCTGAAGATATTGTAATACCCTCTCTTAAGTTCCTTGCATTTATCCTAGCTATCACCAACATGGAGCCGGGTGTCAGATATTGATTGTTGAGATTTGTGATGGGGGTTTGTTTGTTCTGGGGTGTTTTGGTTGGTGGGGTTTTTTATCTCTTGTAAAAAGTGAATCCTAGCTTTATTGTTTAATGTGGAATTCCTTGCCAACTCTTACTCCCATTGGTTTTGCCTTACTTGTAGTCTTTCAAGTCAAGCAACAGGTAAAAGTTTAATAAGTATAATGTTGTAGCTGGAAGACRTTTGAAGTTCCTCCTCCTAAGTAATTACCTACAAAAAATTGTATAAGCTGGCAAAAGTTTCTGATCATTAGAAGCTGTGGAATACCACTTGGCAAGTACTCCAGCTGTTACATGATACTTCCTGAAGGCCTAAACTATCTCCCAAGATAACCCAGAAGCTGGAGTCTATATGTAGGTTATCTGCCTTTAGGACAGATCTGTCCATCTAAAAACTCCTGTAGAGATCAGCATTGCACTTTGTTATACAGAATCTGCAGTCTTGCAGTTATTCCCACCCATCATGTGCTGTTGGGCTCATCTACACAGACAGCAGTGTTTGGGGGACCAAGGTGCTGAGGTGCAGCCACAGGTTGTTGCGCTTCCARTTTCAGTATGATTGGGTTTATCCATAGTTACTCTGGCAATAAAATGCATTCTTCTCCATTCTCCAAAAGTTTATTTTGCACTTAYTTCAAAATTCATTCTTCAAAAATTCACTTTACTTTGTGTAAATATATAAAATAAAATAATGCAGTTGTGCTGCTGCTTCTGCTTCTTAGTTTTTTTTAAACTGTTGTTACTTTTGCCCCTGCTGGGAGTGTGGGAGATGGATCTTTACACAACGGAACCTTGACTGCTTCCCACTATCTCAGCAAAGATGGTAATTTTAAGTAAGAAAATATCTAATACTTTCTAGTATGGGTGTATGTGTCCTTGAKTTGGTTCCTAACTTGCTAACCTGTGCCTGCAATCTTTAGTACAAACTATGTTTGTGTACTTAATGGCAGGAGAGCAAAGTCCTGAGCTGGTGTGTGACTCCTGCTGGATGGGAGTCTTCTCTGCAGTAGCAGAATGAGTCAAGAAAGGYTGGTGGCTCCGCCTCCTCAGCAATTGCTGTGCTGCCACAGCACCGCAACAGAAGAAACAGAGCTGTGAGGATGGAACAAGTGCACCATCCCCACACTGAGACACGGCTGTGCTGTGCTCTCAGCTGAACAGCTCTGAGGGGAYGGAGTGTCTCTGATGTGGTTTGATATAGAGCAAACGTCTCTCTTTTCGGTGAAGCTTGATTCGCTGCAGGAAAGCAGCCTCATGTTTGCTTCACAAGTGCAGTTTTGGGCTGGATCTGGCCCTTTCCAGTGCTATGCAAAACTGATTCAGCTCCAGCCCTCCTGAGTAGGCTGAAACTATGTATCTCAGGTGGGAGCTCCAGCCCTCTCCTTATGCTACTGCCTCCACATCAAAGCTCTGTCCCTTTGCACTTGGRCAGTTCATTAGAAAAGAATCAGTTTTCCTTACCTTTATGCTGAAATAGCGGCTAACTAGGAATATGTTCAACTTATGAGGAGCTTGAGATAGGCCCAGTTCTGAGTTACAAACTATTAGTAAGGTGGTATTATTCTGTATTACAACTTTCAGGTTGAGACTGATTCTTCATGGTACAGCCAGTGGCCTCTTCTGCATATAGTCATAGTATCCAATGTACAGCACTTCGTAAATATTAAGTTCAAGATAAAATACAAAATATTAAGGAATTGATTTATTGAAACATGAATAAATAACAAGGATAGTACAAGCTTACATTTATTTCAGGGGGAAGTTAACAATGAGAGTACCTTTGGGAATGTTTGTCCCATCTCTGAGAGCTTGACTCCTACAGCTGACACGGTTTTGAACTGGGGGAGGCACTCCAGGGTGCTTTGTCCTGGTGGAAGACATGCTGCTTCAGGAGGCTGGGGTTTTCATGTGACCTTCAAGCTAAAGTACCCTTTTGGTAGGATTTTATCCTTTATGATAAGAAGTCAATCACTTCAGGAACTTTAAGCTCAGGCACAATGGCTTCAGGTCACAGCAAAACTTCCCTTCCAGGATAAGCTTTGTTCAAACCTGAGTTTTCAGTACATCTCATGCCAAAACTCATCTCTGTCACATGAAATCATCTGCTTGTTACAGCAGTCTTCAAAGAGGTTACAACTATTTTATTTTTTAATTCAGCTTTATAATAAAGTCAGAAGAAGGGAAAAGTAACCAAAAAAAATCTGCACATAACTAAAAAACAAGATTAAAATTTCTCTGGTAAAACCAACATTAAATTCTGTGATTACATTTTTATACAGTATTGCTTGTACGAAAAATGTTTTCCAAACTATAAAAGATTTTTAAGAAGGACCAAAAAAACTTTCCTTAAAAATTATTTGTAGGATGTAGTCCAGGTGGAAAATGAAAGCACATTAAAAATGGTGAAATTTCTGAAGATTCAGAGCTTAATCATAGATTATGTTGTGATATAATTTTTCATAGCAAACTGTAAGTTTTCTGTCACATATAATTTTAATGCATTTGCATTTTCCAGAGATTTAGACAACATATATTAGTTTATTTTAAAATTAAGTGTAAAGCATGCTTTAGTCAAGCAAACTTCACAAGGCTGTACCTCTATCTATATATTGCTTAATAAATACTCTGTGGGGAAAAAAATCACCTTCAAAATTAGCTGAGAAGGTTTTTTTGAGAGGAAGTAGAAGGAGAAGAGAGACATACCAGAATTTATATTTTTCATGATGACTTGGGGAAAATCCACAAGAGATTAACTCTTACTTTAATATAAACTGCCAACAGAAAACTTACAGTGCACTGAGCTTTTTAAAAGCTTAGAGATAGACTTACAGAGCTAGTTTTCATCTCATTTTAAAGCACCTTGTGCCTAAACTATGCATTTCAGTTAAAATAAGCTGTTATCAACAAGAATACAGTTATCAAAGTTAAAAAGATAAGGTGCAGCCTCTTTACATGGATCCCTTGTACTACCCACTGTTTCCAAAATTGTATTTGACAGTCCCCCTATTATTAATGGCTCTAGCTTTCAGGATATATACAAATTCCCAAATCTTCTTTACAATTTTACAGGATAAGCGAAGGATTCAACTTCATTTCTGACCAATTTATATGGAAATTTCTCCACACTTGTTTAGCAGCAAAAATAAGTTGAATTCCTCAGAGCTATACTGTATTTTTCCAACAGCTTACAATGCATTGAATTTAAACTTCATTAGAGCTTTCACCTAATACTATGTAACCCAGTGGAAAAACAGGCAGGGATGTTGGGATTGTAAAATCATTTCAATGTTAAAGTGACAGTTTTACATATTTTTCACTTACTCTTTTACAGAGATGTTATTCTCTTCATCAACTGCCATCAGCAAGGCCAGTAATTAATGAAGGCCCATCCACAAGCATATTCCAAAATAATTAATGTTCATATGGTTTTGAGGATGGAATTATTAAATTTATTTGTAACCTAGGAGCTGTGAATCATTCAAGTTTCAGTAATATTAGTCCTTAAATGTTTAGCTCAAAGGTAGTACAAAATACTACTGTAACATAAGGAAGATCATCCCGAATTCTGAGATTCTATGAGAATTCAGACTTCCTTTGCTTTCCAGGGCTGTTACCTCGTAGAAGTCCTTAAGCATAGTCATGATTTCTCAGTTCAGTTTTCTAGAATTGGAAACAAATAAATTAGTTTAATGTGCCTTCACATATGAGATGATTTTTCATTTGTCTAAACAAACAAATCAATTAAAGTTAGATGTGAAAGATTTCCATTTCAATAAAATACAACACAGCTTCAAGATACCTGAAAATTTGCCTTCTTACACCAAGGAGTAGGAAATTTGCTAAGAATTTGGAACTGCAGATGGAATTCCTCAAAAAAATCCCTGACCCCATGTCAGTGGTGTGCTGGCTCAACAGAGTTAACAACTTAAGAGCTTGTTTTCCCCATGACTCCAGAAACCATACAATTAGATGGTTCTAAAATCATGAGCTGAATCTAGACAACACTCAATTATTTCAAAAATGTAGTTCTATCTGAATTTAGGGCCCTTAGAATTCATGTTTTCAAGCCTTCTTTAGTGAAGGCTCCAGTACAAGTACCCAGATTTTCAGCATTAAATTCCACAATAAAGTAACAGGGGAGAGGTTAAGAGGTTCTGTATAGTGGGGTGCTGGGAGGGAGCTGAGCTACCCATGCACAGGGACAAGAGCTAAACACAAAGTTCTTGGTTACAGAAGGCCATCCCTCCACCAGTTACATGGAATTTGCTCCACTTTGCAAAAGAGTTTAGAAGTCACGACTCCACAGCCGGAGCCTCAGAGAACTTTGCATGGTAGCAGGGACTTGTGGTTTCTGCTGCAGGACAGTTCATGCAGTTTAAAACCAGAAGTACACAGACACAGTCAGTACAGGCACTGTGTACAGGTGTTGCCTAAGAGCTTGCACACCTAACAGAACACAAGGTGAAACTGGCAACGGGACAGGTGAGCAGGACTTGTTTCACAATTCTGTTTTCTGGCTGAGTGTACTTGGTCAGCTTCCTACGCATTGCTAAAGGAGATGGAACTCCAGATAGAAACGTGCTGCAGAAGCACATAGTCCTTAAATTCTGGCTATGAGAAGACTTCTTCAGAAACAGACRGAAAAGCTAAAGAACACAGAACATCTTCAGTTATTTCTGTTCTTGAAGTCCATCTCCAAACAATCCACGAATGAGCAAGCAAAACATGGGGCTATGCTATCTCTGTGTTTCACACTGACACTGGTATTAACACTGGTACAAATCCAGGTGTCCAGAACTCCAAAATAATGT